GGCAGCCTCGATTTTTGTGCTCTGCTGTTTTTTTTCCTTTTTTTCGGGACCGGGAAGCTGAGCAATTGGGGGCTTACGGGGTTTTTTCACGATTGCGAACGAGCGTTTTTAGAAAAGCACAGGCCATCCATCAGCAATACACTGGGAAAAAATTCGGTAGGCAACCAAAGCTGAATTACTTTTATAGCTGAGCACCCAAGTCTGTTGAGTCTGCTTTAATATACAAATTTTATTGTATTTTTAGTTATGTATTCTTTACTTAAGTACCGCATAATTCATTAAAAATTAGTTTAAAAAAAACTATAAAATTTTATTATAAGAAACAGTTAAAAAGGCTATAAAAATTCAATATATCTCTGAATTCGAGCTGTAAAAATGTGACGTTTTTAGTTTAGTTCTAAACACGATCAAAGTCAATCAAAGCATAGAAAACCTTATCTCGAATTGTTTCCACTGCGCGAAAATCGCTCTAAAGAGAGTGAGGGAAAGAGATGGAGGGCGATAGAGAAAGGGACACATGCTAATTCTGTTTTCTGTTTCGAGTTCGAAATGAAAACGAAGCGAAGCTCAAATATTCGATTCGAAATTGGAATTGGTATGGGAATTGGAATTGGGAGCTGTGAAAAGAGCGGCGCGAAATCATAATGGAAATCAAAAATAGCAGCCAAACGCACACACACACACGTACACACATGGTCAAACAACGAAGTGTGTGGAAAGAAAAGCCACAAAAATGTTTTCGACGAAAATTGTTGAGCAAAAGCAACGGCGAAAAAAATTTCAATTACATATTGACTTTTGTTTATTTGCCAGCGGCTTGGAAATGCCTTCGAATTTTGGTGTATTGTGTGAAATCACAGACTCCACTTTTTTGTGCTTTTTTTATACGTGTTTTACTTTTTTGAGCGGGGTGCGGCATAAATTTTCACTTTGCCAGGCGGCATAACAACAACAACAACAGCAAAGTAGAAGTGTTGCCAAAAATACAAGGCACACACACACAGGCGAACACTGGAATTTCGAATGCCAAACGAGTTTTGGAACTCTGGTTCCTCTGCTTCTTCTTTCACTTGGCGAATATTTTCTTCGTCATTCAAGAGGCAACCACAAAAAAAAAAAACATTAAAAAAAAATAAACAAAAAGCGTTGAACAAAATTTCCAACTTTTATTGTTAATTTCTTTGAGCGCAGCATTTTTAAGCTGCTGCGCGGGCGTCGACTTCGGCAGCGCTACACTGCAACAAAAAAAGACTAGAAGATCGTTTCGTTTCTATGCTTGTTTTCAAGGCATATCAAAAAAAGTATTGTTACTTTCATGCTACCAAAAATGTTGAGTAATGCTACTAAAACGAATTATAATTAAATACATATTTTAAGATATTGTTGGACATTACATGAATCCTCAAATAATTAAAATGACTACTATGTACATATGTACATAAATATGTGCATATCTTTCTAAGGAATATTTTATTATATTTATTAATGTATAGCTTAATAAGTGGGTAGAATTCAGCTACATTGTATATATAATAAAAATATACTTATTAACTAAAACACATATTTCTCGCCGTGTATCAGCATTATTGTTGTTCTTGTTTTTCGTGTAATTATGGTCTTGTGCTGACTTTTTTTTATATATATCTATGCATATACATATGTACACATGTATATTTGCTCAAATCAAGTAATCATTTATATTTAAGCATCCAAATCAAGTTTTGGCAATTGCTAATGCAAGACGGTGGTAAAAAATGGGCAAAGATTTATACGAATGTACAAATGTATGTATGTACATACATACATATGTATGTAAGCCGTGTACATTGACGATTTTATTAGAAAGTAGCAATTGGCAAAACAAACAGATATGCAAAATGGCAAAATGCAAAAACAGCAACAAAAAAAAGAGTGGAACCATAAATTGAAAGTTTAATCTTTTCTTGACACCTTTCTACTTCCCCAGCCGGGAATTTTAATTGCCTCGCTAAAAATAATGACAGGTGTCTGGTGAATTATCTTCTTCAGCTAATAGCATTTATTTCATTTGTAGTAAGATTACCTAAATTAGCTGCTTATGTATTTACAAATTTCAATTTCTACATCCATGGTGAGATCATTTGAGTTAGCGAGTGAGCTTCTTTAAAAAAATAATTACATTTAGTTGGATGCAAATTGAAAATATGTATCTACATACATACGTAAGTAAGGTTTTCCCGAGAGTTGATCTTCATATTTTAAATTTTAATTATTAATTTAATATAAATTTAATTACATTTTATTCTAATAAATCTACTTATTTGTACATACAAAAATTTGACCATATGTACAATATATGCTTCTAATGTTTCTACCCGATTTGTAATTTGTAAAATTTGTAGATCCTACATACAGTGTAAATATGTACATACATATGCATGTATATATTTTTTACGACCTTGACATTTTATAATTTTGTAGGTACAGTTGTAAAATAGTTATATGTATGCATGTACTATGTAAATATGTAAATACACATATACATTGTGCATTTAACTTATAGCTACTTATGTATATAATGTATGTACATACATACATATAAAAGTAATGTTTAACAACATCATCAAAATTTATTTATGATTTTATAACGACAACTTAAATAATGAGAAATAATGTCCATAAATACATATGTACATGTGGAGGTATATGTACCTTCATATGACATTAGATTTTAAACATATTATAGATGATTAGTAAAGGTAAATACATACATACATACATCGTGTATGTATGTACATAGTATGTACGTACATATTATAAAACTGTTTCCAACATTTTCCATACACTGTACGTTTTATTTTGCGATCAACAAAGCTTTGTATGTACATACCTACATAGAACTCCACATGCCATATTTTCTTTTCCTTATGTGCCAACCGAAAAAAAAAACATTTTCTTTGCCTTTTCATTTAGCGCGACTTCCTTTTGCCACAACCCCTTCTTCTTCTTTCTTTTCTTCCCCTCGTTTCCTCCCGCAAAACGCTTTTTTCCAAGCAGACAGTTGCAAAAAGCAATCAACTGTATCGTGGAGTCTCCCATCCCGCTCGCACTCACTTGTTCTAGCGCACGAACGATCTTCGGATTTTCGAATGCAGCAGAAAGAACAACAAAAGCAGAAACTTCGTGCTCACACACACACACACACACGCAAAGCCTATTTCTTTTTTCGACTTTTATTCGAACTTTTTTGCAGCGATTTTTCAGTAACAAACGGCAACTCTCAGGAATAAAATCGTCGTCGCTCCGCTCGTTAAATTCTCGTTGCTTTTCCACCCACATACAAAAATCAGGATGAATTTGTTAGTAGCTTAAAAAGCAGCGCGGATTGCATAAATTCAAGTGGAGTACCGATTGGAAAAACGCATACGTTAAAAACTACAATGTGATGTAAAATACGTTTTTGTGTCGAGTGCATAACTATAATTTGTTGTCATTAAAGTTCAACTGCAATTGCAAAGAGACGAAATAGATTATAATTCATAGGTGTTTGTGCGTGTTTGCCCCCTCTCCTGTGCGACGTGTGAGAGAGAGAGAGAGAGAGAGAGAGAGAGGGAACGTGACCGAGTTGCCATGAAAACTCCAATGGAAATTCAGGTGAGCGATTGTCAAGCGACGTGATGTTATGCGGGGACTATCATCTCCATACGTTCACTTCATGTACACCACTGTAGCCGCCGAAAAAAAAGATCTGTAGAATTTATGTTTTTGCCACAGAGACACTCCTCGCATCAATTAGTATTGGTTAGAGCATTAGGCGTGTGTGTAGAATTTCGCACAGGAATGTTAATTTTCCAGCCGAAAACCCGATGGAACCGTTAAAAATTAAGGTACATATTTAGGTACACATAATTTGTACACAGAGAAAACGCGCGGCGATGAAGTCATGCTGGAAGCCAAAAATAAATCAACGCCGATCATAAAAACGTTTGGAGAGTGCACAAAATATAATTTGCGCTTTTTAGTGGGAAATGCATTGCACACACACAAGCCAAGACCATCTTGCATCGCCTTCGCACACCCTTAAACAGCTGCAGCGCAAACGGGAGAGAGGTGTCGGAGCGGGAGAGAGAGAGCTTGCTCGGCAACGGTAATTTTTACCATTTCGAACATTATGGCTTCGCTTTGCTGCGAAAAAAAAAAACAAAATCGAGCAAACAAAAGCTAAAGCAACAACAAAATCTCGCCCCTTGGTGGGAAACAAAAACAATACCAACTGCGAATGATATTTTCGAACTCCGCCACATATGTATGTGCAACCAGAGTTGCCAGCCTCGTTCGTTGTCACTTGCAGCATGCGAGGTTCTATTAAACAACTTTATTAATTAGTACGTACGACTGACGTACCAAATACTGATTACCACCTAGGGACTTTAAGCTAGCAAATTGTATGCGTTATTAATATTCAATACTCTCCCTAATTAAATTAAACAGTGTCGTTTCCATACTATTTTTAAAATATCACTAACTTCATGGTGGTTTTTATTTTTTTAGGCAGTGAAATTATAAAAAGCTTTGCAGTAGCTTTGTAAACTTGACGTCCCCAAGGTATTGAATTATAAGTTACAAAAATGATTTAAAGTTAAAATTCATTCACCTAGCTAATATCAATAGATCGAGTAATTCAGCTTTACTTGGAAACTTAACATGTTTGTTTTCCTTCTTTCTTGAAGTAAAATTTAAGGGTTAATAGTTAATTATCTTCTATGATGTGTCCTCTTTCTTTATCCTCACCCCAATTTGTCGATCTTTCCCCGTGAATTGGCAACTCTGTGCGCCAAGCATACAAAAAGCACACGGTTGAAGAGGGGCGGCAAACAGGCGACGTCAACTCATTTTTCGAACTCACACTCTCATTCGCACTCTTCGGGTTTCGCTTCGGCTTCGTTTCCAACTCTCTCGGCGCTCTTCGGGGTCTCTGCTTTTGGGCACCTTTCGTTTTTTCGAGCGCCAGCGGAAAGTCGCGTCAGTCGTCAGTTTTTCTTCAGTGGCTTCGCGCGTCCGCAATTTTCAGTGTGTGGTGCGTTGTTGCTGCTGCCTACTCTTTTCTTTCTGCTCTCCACGGCAGCGGGAAAGGAAAATACATACACATGCATACAGGGCCCCATCACATACAGTAAAAATAAATTCAACTTTATTGCTTTTCCCCCCGTCGCGTTATCGTGTGTGTGTGTGTATTAGTATTATATATATATTTTACCATATATATATGGCTTGGAAAAGCAACACCAAAATTTGATATGTGCAAAGTTTATTGACGACTACGTGCTGCCTGTGATTCTATTTCGGTGTGTATATAAAATTGATTAATAATGTTAAAACTACCGCTTAATAATATACAATAAGAACTTGCATTTGAACTGTACCTGGCAATTATTTGCCTGAGATTGTGTGTGTGTTTTTGCATATCGAATCGATACTTCCAGTGGTGATTCTATCGATTTTTCCCTATGCTGCTCACTTCATGGGAGAAAGCTTTTCACCAGTGCACCAAAAGAGACAGGCACAGTTCGAGCGGGAGAGGGATAGCTTTCCCACAAAATGCAACGCTGAAGTAAATGACGGGCGGTTTTCATTAATTTTCACACACGCACACACTGCCAGTGGCTCACTTTCCATGCAAATGAGGTCAAGTGTTGCAGTGAAAATGTTTTCAACAAATACACGTGCATGCATGTATGTATGAATGTCTGTGTGTGTTGGAAAGTTATATAAGCTTTTCATTACTGATTGCGGAGAAGAAAAGCTTGTGAAAAATCGTGATTATTAAACACAATGATTGGCAAGAGCGAGTTAAATGAATTGCTTTCTATTCTAAACTCCTAGAAAAAAGCACGTTTTTCTTTTCGATAGATTCCCAAAGTCTTGGTGGCCGCCATCTTGGTTTTTCCCCCACACATAAAATATTTTGTTCAATGCTAGGCTGCTCTCTCGCTCTTTCGGCTCCCCTTTTCTTTCTCTCCCGCTCATTTTGTCATACTCCCTCGTCCGTTTTTATGTTTGTTCACGAAAAACAAAAACAACAAGCGTGAACTTTTCTCTCTGCACTTTTCACACACACTTAGAAAAAATGGGAGAGCCAGACGGCTCAGCAAGACACGTTGATTGTTGTCGGGGGAGGGGAATTGGGAAGGGGGAGAGAGAGAGCAGTCGCCACATATTTTTGTTTCCACTTTGTGCTACACTTCTGCTACGCCGCTTTTGTTGTTTTCTTTTCGACACGTTTACACATTTCCATTTTTCATATTTTCGTGTCGCCTAATCTTTTTTATGGAACTGCGGCTACGTTGCCAATTTTCACTTGCGACTTTTGCAAAGTTTCATTTGTTTACATTCTACGCACATGTGCAGAATAATAACAATAATAAATGAGATATAAAAAAAGCTTTTGCGCAACAAGTGTAGAAAAGCAGAAACTGTATTTTTCTCTTTGGCTTCTTGCCTTAATTCTTTGTTTACAATTTAAACTTGTACACTTCTTTCAAGTCATCAATTTTTTTTTTCGTTCTACAACACAGTGACCTTGCAGCGAATTTCTGACCTACACACGCACGTGCAAAAAAAATAAAATATGTGTCGCACTTTTTATGTTTTTATTATCCATCCACTATTCTTAATGTTCTTGTCTGTTACAGTAAACAGCAAAAATATAGACAAAATAAAAAGAAGGCAGGGAACTAATCAGCGGCCGTGGTTTTGCAGCCTGCTCTTTGGCCGACTTTTATTTTTGTTAGTTTTGATTACTTATTCGCTTTGTGGCCATTAGCAAAAAAGTTCATTGAACTTTTGTGCGTTTTATTTCGCGGTTTATTGTTGATTATTTTCGGCGGCTTACTTTTTCACTTTCACTTGAATTGGCCACTGTATTTAACAAGTTTCGGGTGGTTAAAAACTAATATGGCATTTTAACAGGAAGTTTTTCAAATAGTTGGTTTCATTTTTAATAAAGCCTTTTATAACTTGAAATTAAGTCACATAGTTTGTCGCTTTACAAATTATAAATAATATATAGTAGGATTTAATTTCGATTGTTTAAATAGATAAATTGAAGCTATTAAGTTGTCTTTTAAAAGATCCCTTTCTAGTTTTCCGGCACCGTTGAACAATCAATCTGTTTTTTTTTTCCCCCCATAACTGGCACTCGTTGTAAATGCCCTTCAAAAAACAAACCCAAAACCAACAAATACAGCGTGCCCAAGAAATCTAGAAAAAAAAAAGAATAAACGACATCATCAGCGGGGCAGATCTACATTGGTGCCCATGATAGATATAGATAGCCCCACCAAAACCCAAAGCACCGACTTCCTCCGCTCCCACACGAATGTACAATCCAGCAGATACATTTACAGATACAGATACATTCGCGCATAACAAGCCCTTAACATTCACTTTAAATAGCTTTTCGAGAAAACAAGTTTTGTGGTTGACGTTTTTGCTCATGCTTGTTTTTATACATTTTTCGCTGCTTTAATGGCAAAACGACATTTCAGAACCGAGCGAGCGAAGCGGAAAAGGAAAGGAAAAGAAGCGTGGAAATGGAAAATGCCATGTTTCAACACATTTAAACGCCCAGTTGCAATTCGTCGTTTTCAAGTATTTTGCCTGAAGTGGCTAAACCCTTGATCATAAGATCATATATTAATACAATTAAATTATTTAAGATCATCCACTTTGATTATATTGTCTGATATAATGATAAAAAAAAGGCAAACATGTGCGATCCGTTGGCATTTCTGCTGGGAAAACCCTAGCTTGTTTCTAGGAAATTATAATAACTAATTCAACATCCTATTTTGGGTGGTTTACCCGCACGATCCGAAGCTGACTCAGATTTGTTCCCTCCGTTTTCCCCTTTCTTCACACTTGACTTGGCTTTTCTCAATCTTCGCTTGCAGCCTGTTTGCTGCAACATGTGCAGAGCGAGGAAAACAAAAACAAAAACGAAGGCGACGGGCAGAAAGGGTGTAAAAATAAATACAAATAATAAAATGAGCTACGTGTGGGGTTTTCAGAGGTGTTTTTCCCCCAAGTTTTGCCTTTTTTTTTGGGCTTCGAACCGCCAGAGTTTCAATGGTGTGTGTGTGTGTTGGTGTGCTGGTGTATCTGCGTTGCTATTCAGCAACATTTTCAGCTGCCAGAAATTAAATTATTGAAAGTCAGTGCGAGAGTCGAGTCGTCGAGTTTATTTTTACGTCGTAAATATACAAATTTGATGTCTCGCAAACGCAACACATGTGTATGTATGTGCGTGTGCGTGTGAGCAGAAAAAGATTCCACTTTATGCAAATCTTGTGGGGGAAGTTTTATATTTGTTCTTGGCCTCCACACACACACACTCTTTTCCCTCGCTCTCTCTCCCTCTCTTTCTCCCCCTCCATCTTATTCTTAAGTTATTTCCATTTTAAATTTGTTTTTCTGGCGGCCGCCACTGTGTGTGTGCTGGCAATTTTTCTGGCAGCGATGTGAAATGAAATGAAATGAGTTTCTTAAACTGGTTTTTCTGCCAAGCGATCGGATCGGATCGGATCTCGGATCTCTAAACCAACAAACAAAACTCGACTTGCCAGCCGAGAACGGGGCGACCACCCGCTCCTCCGTTTCGTTTTTCGAAATGGCACAGTTCTTGTACATTCTGCCCAACCGGTTTTTCTTTTGACTTTTGCACAGCGGCACACACACACACAATGCACACACACACATGCACATACACACATGCACATACACATGTACCGCTGTGCTACCCAGAAACCAGCCCCATATCATTATGGTTCTTACCAAGTTCAGAGCTCTCTCTCTCCCTCTATCTGCCTGCTGCTGGCCAAGAATTTTCATTACTCCTGAAAACGGAGGGCTCCCAGACTTTGGCGGCACTTCCTGTCCTGATGCCCAAACGAAGGAAGGGACAGCAGGACGACAGTTGTGATCCAACATCTGCCGGCAGGACGACAAAATGGAGGGAGACACTGCACACACATACAGAGAGACAAGCGCACATAGTACGGAGAGGGGGGATCGGCTTAGTTTTAGGGGTTGTTTGCAACCCCCAAAAACAGGACCCTCTCCCTCATCCTCCTAGCAGTAAACCAAACCGGTCCGCTTCGGTTCTCCCGGGGCGCTCACCTTTTGCCGTCTGGCGCGTGCTTAGAAAAAGGGGACCGCCGACATCCTTTATATAAGTATTATCCATCCCGCTCCCCCTCCCCCTACCAGCGACATCCCATTTTCATTTCCATCTGCCACTCGAAAAGTCTGGCGGCATTGAAGCCCAGAATTAATGAGGCCTAGCTGGGCCCAAGCCAAATGGCTGAATTCTAAAACAAGTTTGGGACAAAAGGTTTGGAAATGGTAATGTGGTAGCAATTCCAATTCCTATCTTAATACATTATAAACCGATCTACGCTTAATGAACAATTCACGCTTCCATGCTGCTGCAAACTACATTCATCTGATATCTGACATCTGACATTGATCGCCGATAGAGTAAAAGCAACCCAATCAAATTGCGGAAAATATAACATCAGTTTTTCGTACTACAGTGGTTGCAATATTAAAACAAATGTTGAGTTTTTCGCTAACAACGTTTCGTAAAATGATCATTTTGAACGTAGTTTGATAGTAGATCTCAACACAAGAAAATATTAAGAATAGTTTGGGTTGGGTCATTCAAAGCAACTAGCTTATATAAAGTGTGAAATGAACTATTCATTTTCCTTGCGATTCAGCGGTTGCTAAACTAAAATTTAGATGAGTTTTTCGCTAACAACGTTTCGTAAAATGAAAATTTTGAACGTAGTTTGATAGTAGATCTCATCACAAGATAAGTATTATGTTTATGTAAGGGGATTTAAACTATAATTTGTCAGCAGCTCGCCCATAAAAAGTGTGGAAAATGCTTTAAATATTATCCAAACAATCTGGCGGTTGCCAAACCAAAATCCAGTTGAGTTTTTCGCTAACAACGTTTCGTAAAATATATATTTTGAACGTAGTTTGATAGTAGATCTCAACACAGAAATTCTGATATTTTAGAGTTTTTAGAACCAACATTTTAAGCATTGCTTTAAACAGAAACCATGATCAAAAGTTCTATTACCGCTTTGCAACAGCAGTTAACACAGTGTCTTGGACTTATTTTTGCCAGACATTTTCAAATGCAGTTGCCAGATGAAAACCCAGTTGAGATTTTCGCTAACAATGCTCCGTAAAACACAGTTTTGGACATCGTTTGATAGTAGACCTCAGCACAATCTCTCACTCCCTCTCACTCTCTTGTCTTGGTCTCCAATCACCAATTGCTCATTACTTCACCCCACACCCCCCATTTAGTACATCATTTGTGGGTACTCTCGTGGGAAAACCGAACCCCAAAGAAGTGCGAGGTGCCTTTGGGCCCAACTGTACTTTTCCGCACACGCACACACACTGCCAACTCACTGGCGGCTACATAGCTCGCTCTCGCTCTGTTCGGTCACAGGATCCCAATTCATAATCCTCCACCATCTGCGCAAAAATAAAACCTTGCAATGTGCAAAGAGCGCGCGTCATTCGTTTCCAAAAAGGGAGAGGGAGCGGGAGAGCGAGAGAGATCCTTTTTCGCCGCCTCCCTGCAGTTTTACCTACTTCTCTTTGTGTCCGTCTTATGTATTTCTTTTCGTACTAGTGTGTGTTTGTGTGTCTGTGGAAAACCCCTCGAATGCATCATCATTGGGGTAAGGCTTGTTTTTCACCGCTTCACTGCAGTGATTCATGCGGAGAGAAAAAAGCAGGTCAAATGATATTTTCACTTACCATATGAGTTTCCTACAAAATGAAAGCTCGAGTTAATGTATTCTGATTATTGTTTAATAGCATATGTAAGTTTTTGACACGAAAACGTTGGCCAATCAAATTGAAATGATCATCATTATCCTTAATAGTTTTTCTTTATGTGTATTTTGTGCGCATGCCTTGCACCTTCCTTCCATATGGACCATGTGTTTGTGTGTGTGTATAACTGAATCTCGAAAAACTGATCCCTCCGCCTAACTGTAAATGGCTGGTTTGTTTGGCTTACCCTGGGGGTGATTCTCTCTGTTTCGTTTCCCCACGTCTGTCTAGTTTTTTTTTTTTGCCTGGATCTGGCGAAAAGTAAAAAAAAATGAAACTGGAAAACACAAAGGGAAGTGAAAAAAGGGAGCCTCCTCTAGTCACGTAGACATTTGTGTATAGCCATCTCACTTGCTCTTTGCCGCGGAGAACAGTTAGTTTTCAGTAATATTTTATGTACTTCTCCAAAAGTGAACATTTGTATGTGACATTCCCTTTTTGGGTGTATCTAATCATGTCTAATCACATCTAATAAACTAGAAGCATAAAAATGAAACATACATAAAAATGAACGCATACAAATCAAAGTATGAACGTTTTCCAGCCAATTTTCGCTACCTGACTGTGTTCTTGAAAGTGTTTGTATGTGTGTATTTCCCGTTATTTCTCTTTGGCACGATTATTACCGCTGCAGTTCTCCTTTTTCCTTTGAGCTCCTTTTCCCTCTGCCGCCGCCGCTGGCTACCTTGCCTTCTCTCGCTCGCTCCTTTTGCCTACTTGGCAATTTCATAACGTGCCCCCAAACGGGAGAGAGCGAGTGAGCTCGACGCTCAACTCTCGCTCGCTCCCTTCCTCTCGCTCTGACAGCAACTTCGTTTGCAGGGCGCCCGTGCCGTCGGCGAGAGATAAAGAGAGCGTAAATTGAGCGCTAGCAGCGAGGCGTCGTTTTCGAGGGTCGCTCAGTCGCCGTCACATTTGCGTCGTTTCATTCGGTATCGTGCGCTCGGGGATTTTGTTTGGTTCTCTGCTTTGTGCGGCAGATCGCGAGGCAACGCGTGCGGTTTGCTGGCTAAATTCTACATACACACCTTCAACATCCGACGGCCGAAGCGGAGCTAGAATAGGAAAACCAACCTTTGCAGTGCTAATTATTTACAACACAACAGTAAGTGTGTGTGGTGTGTGGAAATGAAGCAGCATAATCGCGAGCGGGAGAGGTTGTGAAATAGCGCCCATATCTATATGATGGGTGCCTTTGTTGGCTTGTGTGCGTGTGTGTATTTGTGAGCTTCTAATGAAAAACGTTCTATTTTTAAATGCGCACACCATAAAAAACTGAAACGATTGCTCCACACTTCAACTTTAAAAATTATCAGTCAGCTAGTGCGAGTGTGTTGGTGTCTATGGTGATGGGGGAGAAAGAAAATCATCATAAATATTCGTCTGTGTCTACTTGTGAAATTTTCCACAACGGAGAAAAAGGAAACGAGAAGAAAAAAACACGCAGACACAAATATATGTGTTTGCGCTGCAGCGACGCCGACTGCGAAACTTCCCCTCTTTATGTTTCATGCTTCGCTTTTTTTTTTTTATTTCATTTCATTTTTTCGGTCGTCACGAAGTCTCTTCGGCTTTTATCGTGTCCATCGATCTCCAACACTAAAACACACGCAGTCGGGAAGCAGAAGCAGCAGCAGCAACTGTAACACAAATCCGTTAGCTCTCTCTTTGGGAGAGCGTGTGTACTGTAGGGAAAGAGCAAAGTTGAAAAATTAACAAGAAGCAGAAACTCGCTCGGAAAGTAAAAAAAATAACTGCATATCGCTGTGCAAAATTTGCATACAAGTATGTTGCTGTGGGTGTTTATTAGCGGGTATATATATGTGTGTGTGTGTGCGAATGCTAAGCAACAATAATAATCTAGCTGAAATTTCAAGCGCGCAAAAGAGATAAAAGATATTGTTATTGCTGCGCTGAAATTAAACATGAACTTGACCTTGGGCCGCATTACTGCGAGTTTTTTTGCGTTACTAATTTTGTTATTTTGTCTTTTCTCTCTTTGCAGCATAACTGCTGACACACTAAACAAAACTGAAAAAAGAACCAAAGGCGTAAGCTGTTTGTTTGTTTAGACACCTTAGTTTGATCCAATATTAATCAAAAAACGAGTGGCGACAAAAAAAACCAAGTCAGAGAGAGCGCTCGACGTTCGGCCCCAAGGTCGTGGGCCCAAACCCCCCAGGATCCATTTCCAACAACCCCATCCAACCACCCAAGAAACCAAAATGGATGACGATCAGCAGTTTTGTTTGCGGTGGAACAACCATCAGAGCACACTGATCAGCGTGTTCGACACGTTGCTGGAGAACGAGACTCTAGTCGATTGCACGCTAGCCGCCGAGGGCAAATTTCTCAAGGCCCACAAGGTGGTGCTGTCAGCATGCAGTCCCTACTTTGCTGTAAGTGTTAGCACATCAAAATCATCCCAAAACTCTTTGTTAACGCTAAATATACACTTTCCGCAGACCTTACTACAAGAACAGTACGACAAACATCCCATCTTTATACTCAAGGATGTCAAGTACCAAGAACTGCGCGCCATGATGGACTACATGTACCGCGGCGAGGTCAATATCTCGCAGGATCAGCTGGCCGCCCTGCTCAAGGCCGCCGAATCGCTGCAGATCAAGGGCCTGTCGGACAATCGCACTGGCGGCGGAGCAGCCCCCAAGCCTGAGTCCACCGGCCATCATCGCGGCGGTAAGCTGAGCGGTGCCTACACACTGGAGCAGACGAAGCGGGCTCGACTGGCCACCGGCGGAGCGATGGACACGTCCGGCGATGTGTCCGGTTCACGCGAGGGCTCCTCAAGTCCGTCGCGTCGTCGTCGAAAAGTCCGACGTCGCAGCATGGAGAATGGTGAGTTGTCAAGCGATTAGAATTATCTTACATATTGCTAAATATAAAAAAAAAAATGCGAGGACGGGAACGTTCTTCAAACGAAACTCGTGTTAATCAAAAATCTTCACTTTGGTGCAAGTAATTCATTTAAATGGCTTCACTAATAATATATTTAGTAATACTATTGTTAAAGCTGTCACTTTGCAATTCCGATTCCACTTTGCAAGTACCAAGTTATTTAATTAATTTTTTTTTTATTTTTGCAGATGCCCACGACAACTCAAACTCGTCCGTGTTACAAGCCGCCGCCTCGAATCAGTCAATCCTCCAGCAGACAGGCGCCGGTTTGGCCGTCTCCGCTTTGGTCAGCACCCAGTTGTCCAGCGGACCGGCAGCCGGAACCAGCAGCCAAGCGTCGTCGACCCAGCAACAGCAGCCATTGACCAGCACCAACGTTACCAAAAAGACTGAAAGCGCTAAACTAACATCCTCGACAGCCGCCCCAGCGAGCGGAGCATCTGCGTCAGCGGCCGCCGTACAACAGGCCCATCTGCATCAGCAGCAGGCGCAGACCACAAGCGATGCCATTAACACCGAGAATGTACAAGCCCAGAGCCAAGGTGGCGCCCAAGGCGTCCAAGGCGATGACGAGGACATTGACGAGGGTAGTGCCGTTGGCGGACCAAATTCCGCCAGCGGACCCAATCCCGCCTCCGTCTCTGCATCCGCCGTCCATGCCGGAGTTGTGGTAAAGCAGCTGGTCAGCGTTGTGGACAAATCGTCGTCGAATCACAAACATAAGATCAAAGACAACAGCGTGTCATCAGTGGGCTCCGAAATGGTTATTGAACCCAAAGCCGAATACGATGACGATGCGCACGATGAGAACGTTGAAGATTTGACACTGGACGAGGAGGACATGACAATGGAGGAGCTGGACCAGACGGCCGGCACCAGCCAGGGTGGCGAAGGATCTAGTCAAAGTGAGTTTGCAACACCACTTTTCTCCTGTTTCCTTTTAACTAATGAGTGTTTTTTTTTCCACCAATAGCATATGCAACATGGCAGCACGACAGATCTCAGGATGAACTTGGACTAATGGCACAGGATGCACAACAACGGGATCCCCAAGGTGAGTGTTTGTTGCCTCTGAAATCGATAATATGAGCTATGAACAAATGAAAAAGCAAAAAGTATAGCTTAGCCTAGAAGTATTAGACGAGATGTTTTTTCGAACCAGCGAGCACGACAAACAACAAGCTTAAATTCAAATGCAGATTAAAGATTGAAATCCAACTTTTCAAGGTCACAACTCCATTTTAATCACACAAACATTTTAAATTATACAAATTTATATTTTGCCCATTTTAATGTACACTACAAAAGTCGTGCTCCGAAAAAAGCTCTAAAATGTTGAAGAAGAAAAAAGATGCAAAAGACGTAGAATTTGTTCAAATATAATTTTCAACAAGATAGCAGACGAAAAAAGCAAGCAACAAGAAAAAGTACAAATACAAACCCAAAATAACAAGATTTGTGAGCGTGAGTTTTGGCGCAGAGAAAAAAAAAACAATATGAAAAACAGAATTTAATATTGAAGAGCAAGAATTACCGACTCTTTTTTGAGTTTTATTATATGAGAGAATTTGAAAAGCTGTTTTTGATAATTTTTTATTTTTGCCTGCGTCGCTCAATTCGTCACAGATAAATTAACCCGAAACAAGAATAATTTGTGCAAGTTGAAAGTATTACTTAAAAACTCTTTCTTTACTTAATATGATTTTTTACAAAACTAATATTTTTTTAATTATGACACACATAATTCGTATTACTAGTATTCTTTTTTTGTACATATATTATAATTAATTTTTAACACACACACACACACTTTTGAAAAGAAAATGAGAAACATTTACCACTCACACACCACAAACATATATAATTGCTATATACCACAAAACCCAACCACCAACCATCCCCTAACATTCTCATTTTATCATTATCTATCTATATATATGTATGATTCCATGTATGATCATTTGTTGTTGAATTTTCGTAATACGTTCCATTACAATTGGTGTTTGATTAACTCTTAATTTTGCCTTATTTTATCTTACCGTATATATAAATCGCATAATTCTACATTCCCAACATTTTTTAGTTGCTCGCCCTATCTTTCTTCCACCCTCCCTTTCCCATCTATACTCCTCTCTTTCCGACATTATGCCGTTAGCTGCAGAGTAATGAAACAGGAAATATAAATTGAAAGTACCGTACCTTTCATAATAATATTCATAAACCATGGTCACACTGACTCACCCACAAACACAACCACCACCCACACTGCAGCTTTGATTTAGGCAGAAATCTTGAAGAAATGCCCTTATCTTTTAAGTTAGTGTTTAAATTTACGTATCAACAGTGTTCTATTTGTGTGCGTTTTGATCTCTCTCGCTCGCTATTTCCCTCTGTAAGCTGCTGTTTGTGAGCGTGTACCATTGTGTGTATAGTGCGTGTGTGTGAGTGTGCAGGGCTCCGTTCACATGTATTTTCCCTTCACAAAGAAAGCTCTCTCAGTACAGTCGCGTCAAAAAGATTGCAAAGTTTGGCCACACTTGCAGCATTTCTAGCAAAACTCGATTATGTTTGTTCGCCTTAACTTTGTTTGCATTTTCAAAGCATATCTCCCACCACACCCACGAACTTTCGCAAACGAACACACATTCAATCTTTCATTTGTCATACTATACTTTGTGCCATTCCATTTTGATTGTCCTCTACTTTAGAACTCTCAGCGCGTGCTAATGTTTTTTACACATGTTTTTTTTTTGTTTTACTTTATATATTATTACGAAAATACGCATGCAGTTTTAAATTGTATTTTAGTACTATCTCTATATATACATATATATTTTGCTTTATTTTGGTTGACGGGACTTTTATTGATTGTTTATTTTCCTTACGGATTTGTTTTTAGTTTTAAAGCTAGATTGTAAGTGTTTTTCCGTCACAACTAACGCGCGCGAAACTTTCCGACGCGTTTACATTTCGTATGTTTGGGGATTCTTTTCCCCATAACTACATATGAACGTCGTTGTTAAAAGAAAACATTGAAAACCCCTTTATAAAGTTGAGTGAAAAGTGAAAAAAGAAACCCGATGACCAAACGGATGGCAACGCCTGGAATTGAAGGATCGCCGCTTTGGAGGAGGAGGATCAGCTGCCGAAGGTCTCAAGTCGTTGCCAAAACAAAGCACGTAACCATCCAGGATGGTGAGGTACATTTGCAGCTTTGGGCAACTCGACGAGATCCAACAGTAGTCAACTGCATCCAACTGCGTCGCGGAAATCTCAGGTGCGTGTCCAGGTGAGTATGCTCCGCCCAACGGTATCGGTTGGGCGAAGTGAAATGCAAGAATGAAGTAAATTTTTTATTTTAAGTTCATTTTTGTTTGACTCCCAAAAATATCCTATCCTCAACCCTTCCATTAATCCCCCATGTATTACCAATTATCCGCCGCCTTCCCAGATCAACATTCATACCTCATAAAAACCAAAATCATTTTACAGCGATTCCAGGTAATGTGTTTTATAAAAAAAAAAAATATCTACAAGCGCTCCCGCTCTCTTTCTCCAATAAAGAGTCGATGGACTTCCAGGGTAAGCTATAGTGTAACCTCCAGTTTCTACTCTTCCGATTTATTTCTAAGTGTACACCTTAAATTTACATTGTATATATATTTTTCTTAAAATTTCATTTTGCGTTTGGCGTTTGTTTGTTTTTCAAAATTGCTTGAAGCGTTGCCAAACAAACACCAAACACAGAAAAACACATTTCTCGAAAGAAATTCCACCGATCCCCCTATACATACATATCCATATAGACAACACTGCATTGTTGCCTTTCTACAATTATCCTGTTTGCCAATATAGTGAAAACAAAAATTACATTATCTCAGAGGAAAAAAAAATAACCATCTATTGATGTTTTGATGTTTCTGATGAGTCAATATTCTATATGAAACTTAGTAGGAAACTCTACATTGACCGATCGTTTTTCGTTGCAAGATCCATATGTGCAAGATATATGTGGATTATGGACCTATTCTACACTAGCAAGGCTTGTGAAAAACGAAGTATAATTATGTATTATTAGTGGTAAAAAACGTTCTTTAACTGATCCGAATGAAGAATCGTTTCACCTTTAATATTTGAGATGCAAAACATCATGGGGGTTTCCCTAAGTGCTTGTTAATGGCCAATAAAAGCAAGTAATTCCTAAAGCTTTAAAAGCTTTTTGTTTTTACCCTCTATGTTTCACTCTTTTGGTCAGTCGTTCTTCGTTGACAATCTCGTTTGCCCAATTAATTTATAAACTCTTTGTTTCGCTCGTTGTGCGGGGTGAGGTATCTAAAAAGATATATTTAATTTGAAAGTACGTGAAACAGCAGTTCAGCTCCTCTCTTTCTACGCCCGTTCTGTTAATTGTTAATCAGCAAGAACAACAAATGCTACTACAACAATGCCCGAAGCATTCGTTCAAGTTCAAGGTCGGCTAAATTATAATGTGTTTCTATGTGTGAGGTTGTGAATTTTTGTTCTTTAATCACCATTGTTCACATTATCGGGGGCGGGGAGTGAGGGGGGTGGTGGTGGCGATGAGGACTGACGACTGAAGCAGTAATATTAATGTTCATATCTGTGTGAATGTATCTCGTTTGCTTGCCGTTTTTTGTTTGTTTGTTTTCGCCGTTTTCTTCGCGCTTGCTATTTTTAAATGTCGTTCTGCATCCGTGTAAAGTCAATAATGATACGATGCGATTCTGCTGGGACAATTAAATCCAATGGTTGCATAAATAAGCAAGTTTGGGATTTTTCGATGATAATTTCTTCACACGCAGAAAGTTGTTGATGATTGGTGTGTGAGCTAGTGGTTTGAAAAACCCGCTTTATTAGCGATACTTTTGGTAGAAGTGCTTCATTATGTCGGGAATTTATAATCTTGCATGATTCGAGGTTGTATAACCAAAGTATCCGTTGGTAGAACGTCATTATTAGAGACTTGATTTGACTTCAATGCTGAATCAAAATTGTTGAGTTGCAGGAAACTTATTTTGTTAGCACCATTTGTATTGTAATAGTATAAATCACTAGTTTAGTAATGGCGATTATTTAACATATAAATATTGCGTATATTAGATACTCACGAATTTGCCAAATTAGTGTATAAATGAAATGGGTTTTTCCGACTATATCCCTGCCTTTTTCTGGTTTTGGCCCAGTTGAAAGCTGTTTGCATGGCCTTGACCCAATTTACACAGGCACATTGCATACACACGCAAAACAGGCACAGTCGCCAGATAATATTTTTTTTTGTGTAACTTGCAATGAGTCCAAAGCTTTTATCACATCACGCAAACCACAAGCGCAAAAACAAATAATTTACTTGCAGTCCTTGCCTTTTGTTCGTTTATATGTGTGAATGTTTTTGCGAATATGTAAACATTTTAATACTTGTATCTTAGAAGTGAACATAAATCCAGCTTTCTATGTAGTGTATGTACACGAATTTATTTTCATCTTAAGTTGGTTGTAGTTGGTTTATGTGGACTTTTCACCTCTTGCGCTTACTCCTTTTCCACATTTGTTGTTCTACTTGCATTTAGATTGTATATGTTTAGGGTACAGATTAGGGTAAGGACTGAAAAGAGCTTTTTTCTACAGCAAAAACGGCTTGAAGTAGAATTAACCAGGAAACTATTTAACGTCCTAGTTAAAAACTTGCTAAGAAAATGGGTTTTAAGGTTGTTGGATTGTTTGTGCCTATGGATGAATTTGTGTTTAGGATGTGTCGCGTGCGGCTAAATTAAAGTGTGCTACTTTGTAATTTTTATTCAAAAACGATTTTGTCACAAATCGATGAACTCGTAAGAGAGAGAACCTTGTCTTAATAAGAATAGTATATTTATAAAATAACTAATTTATAGCAAGATTCTAAAAACTATTGTTTGTCAGCGAGAGGAAGAGGATTAGCTTACACAGTTTGTTCTTTCATTTGTTTTTGGTTTTGGAGTCTATTCCTTTGTGTCTCCATCTCAAACTCTTTCTGTCCCCTATTCCGCATTTGAAATA